CCCAAAAAATCCCCCAAAAATCCCCCAGCCCCCCAGCCCCCCATCCCCGCTGTCCCGGTGCCGGTGCCGGTACCGGGGATGTAGGTGAACTGCAGCTCTCGGGCCAGGGGCCGCAGGCGCGGCCGCAGCTGCCGGTACCGGAACAGCAGCACCTTGCCCTTGAGCGCCGCCGCCAGCAGCGCCCCGGGACCCGGAACCGGCACCGGCACCGGGACGGAACCGGGAACGGAACCGGGATCGGGATCGGGAACGGGATCGGGATCGGGACCCGGCAGCGCCCCCGGACCCGGCACCGGGACCGGCACCGGGACAGAACCGGGATCGGGACCGGACCCGGGACCGGGAACCGGGACAGAACCGGGAACCGAACCGGGATCGGGATCGGGATCGGGATCGGGACCCGGCACCGGGACGGAACCGGGAACGGGATCGGAACCGGGAACGGAACCGGGATCGGGATCGGGAACGGGATCGGGAACCGAACCGGGAATGGGATCAGGACCCGGCAGCGCCCCGGGACCCGGAACCGGCACCGGGACCGGGACAGAACCGGGAACGGAACCGGGATTGGGAACGGGAACCGAACCGGGAACGGGATCAACCGGGAACGGAACCGGGAACGGAACCGGGAATGGGATCGGAACCGGGACCCAGCAGCGCCCCCGGACGCGGCACCGGCACCGGGACAGAACCGGGAACGGAACCGGGATTGGGAACGGGAACCGAACCGGAACCGGGAACGGAACCGGGAATGGGATCGGAACCGGGACCCAGCAGCGCCCCCGGACGCGGCACCGGCACCGGGACAGAACCGGGATCGGGAACGGGATCGGGAACAGGAATGGAACCGGGAACCACCAAACAAGGACCCGGGACAGAACCGGGACCTGGCACCGGCACCGGGACAGAACCGGGAATGGGAACGGAACCGGGAACCGGAACCGAACTCGGAGCCGGAATGGAACCGGGAACGGGATCAGAACCAGGAGCCGGAACCGGGCCGGGAACGGGACCGGGAACGGAATCGGAACTGGAAACGGGATCGGAACCGGGAACGGAACCGGGAACTGGGGCAGAACCGGGAGTGGAACCGGGACGGGGAACCGGAGCAGAACCGGGACCGGGAACTGGAACGGAACCAGGACCGGGACCGGGCGCAGAACCGGGACATCGAACGGGGTCAGGACCGGGAGCAGGACCAGGAGCGGGGCCCCGAAGCGGCTCAGAACCGGAACCGGAACCGGAACCGGAACCGGAACCGGGAGCAGAACCGGGAGCGGGCCGGGAGCCGGGGGGCAGCGGGCCGGGCAGCGCCGCCAGCCCGTACACGTTGCTCTGCGAGCCCAGGCGGCTGAAACTGTCCTCGACCAACGGGCACCGGGACCAGAGCGACATCACGGAACCGGGACCGGGCCGGGACCTGCGGGGAACCGGGACACAACCGGGACCGCGACCGAACCGGGCCAGGCAGCGCCGCGGGCAGCCCCACCGGGAGAGAACCGCGCCAGAACCGGAAGCGAACCGAGAGGAACCGGGCCAGAACCGGGAGCGAACCGGGCCAGGCAGCGCCGCGGGCAGCCCCACCGGCAGCGCCGCGCCGGGGCCTTGCGCGCAGCGCGTCGCGCGGTGGTGACGTCAGAGAGCGGCGACGGGAGGGGTTTAGCGGCATGGGAGGAGCTTGAGGGAAGCTCCGCCTGTTGTGGGCGGGGTTAAAGAGCCATATAAGGCAATAGAGCGCATAGAGGGCGTGGTTTGTACGGGGGCGTGGCCAAAGGGGAGGAAGGGATTTTTGGGGGGTCCGGGGGGAATTTTGGGGTCAAAAGAGGAAATTTGAGGGAAAAAAGGGAAAATTGTGGGGCCAAAGAGGGAATTTTGAGGTAAAAAAGGAAAATTTTGAGGTAAAAAAGGGAAAACTTGGGGGTCAGAGGAAACGAAATAGGGGGGATTTGGCACATTGGGGGGATTTGGGGTGAAATTGGGGGGATTTGGGGGAAATTGGGGAGATTTGGGGGAAATCGGGGGGATTTGAGGAGATTTGGGTGAAATTGGGGTCAAATTTTGGGAATTTGGGGTAAAATAAGAGGAATTTTGGGGCATCTGGGGTGAAATTGGGGACATTTGGGTGAAATTGGGGACATTTGGGTAAAATTGAAGGATTATGGAGAGATTTGGGGGGAAAACGGCAAATTTGGGGGAAATTGAGAGGATTTGGGGTGAAAGTGGGGAATTTGGGGTGAATTTTGGGGTGATTTTTGGGGATTTGGCGTGGGATTTGGGGTGAATCTGGGTGATTTTGGGGTGATTTTGGGGAGGTTTTCAGGGTGATTTTGGGGTGGATTTGGGGTGATTTTGGGGTGATTTTGTGGAGATTTTTGGGGTGATTTTGGGAGGTTTTTGGCACGTACGGCGTCGGTGAAGGCGTCCACGTTCTGCTCCTCGTGAGCCTCCAGCAGCTTCTGGGGAGGAGGAGGAGGAAGGTGAGGATGAAGAGGAAGAGAACGAAGATGAAGAAGGGGAGGATGAGGAGGAGGAGGATGGGGGAGGATGAAGAGGAGGATGAGGAGGATGAGGTAGAGGATGGAGGATGGGGGGAATGAGGATGAAGATGAGGAGGAGGATTAGAACGAAGATGAAGACGAAGAAGAGAAGGATGAGGAGGAAGATGAGGATGAGGATGATAAGGATGAGGAGGAGAACGAGGATGAAGAGCAGGATGAGGAAGAGGAGGAAGGCTGATGATGAGGGGGATCAGGGTGAGGAGGAAGATGATGAGGATGAAGCTGAGGATGATGAGGAAGAGGAGGAAGGCTGATGGTGAGGATCAGGATGAGGATGATGAAGACGATGAAGATGATGGGGAGGATGAGGATGAAGCTGAGGATGAGGAGGGAGGGGAGGAAGGCTGATGGGGATGAGGAGGACGAGGATGATGAGGGTGATGAGAAGGGGAGGAAGGATGATGAGGATGAGGATGAAGCTGAGGATGATGAGGAGGGGAGGAAGGCTGATGATGAAGATGAGGATGATGGGAGGGAGGAAGGCTGATGAAGCTGAGGAGGATGAGGATGAGGAGGGAGGAAGGCTGATGGGGATGATGAGGATGAAGCTGAGGATGATGAGGATGAAGAGGATGAAGATGAGGCTGATGATGAGGATGAGGATGATGGGAGGAAGGCAGATGGGGATGATGAGGATGAAGCTGAGGCTGATGATGAGGAGGGAGGAAGGCTGATGATGAAGATGAGGATGAAGATGAGGACAAGGATGATGAAGGGGGAGGAAGGCTGATGATGAGGATGAGGATGAGGAGCATGAGGATCTAATTAACGCTCATTAATGCTAATTAACCACTCATTAACACTCATTAACACTAATTAACACTAATTATCCACTTATTAACACTAATTAACCCCTCATTAAACCCTAATCAACCCAAAATTAAGCCCTTACTAAACGCTTATTAACCTAATTAACCCCTAATTAATCCCTAATAATCACTGATTAATCACCTTGGTGTTGAGCGCGTCCATGCCCTGAAGAAATGCTCCAGTCCTGACCCCAAATACCCAAATTAACCCCTAATTAACCCCAAAATAACCCCTAATTGACCCCTAATAAACCTCTAATTAACCCCAATTAACTAATCACCTTGGCATTGAGCGTGTCCATGCAGAAGTGGCAGAGGGCGGCCTTGAAGAAATGCTCCATTCCTGACCCCAAATACCCCAATTAACCCCAATTAACCCCTAATTAATCCCTAATTAACCCCAAACTGACCCCTAATTAACACTAATTAACCCCTAATTAACGCTAATTAATTAACTAATCACCTTGGCGTTGAGCATGTCGACGCAGAAGTGGCAGAGGGCGGCCCTGAAGAAATGCTCCAGTCCTGACCCCAATTAACCCCTAAGTGACCCCTAATTAACACTAATTAACCCCTAATTAACGCTAATTAATTAACTAATCACCTTGGCGTTGAGCATGTCGACGCAGAAGTGGCAGAGGGCGGCCCTGAAGAAATGCTCCAGTCCTGACCCCAATTAACCCCTAATTAACCCCTATTAACCCCTAATTGACCCCTAACTGACCCATAATTAACGCTAATTAATTAATCACCTTGGCGTTGAGCATGTCGACGCAGAAGTGGCAGAGGGCGGCCCTGAAGAAATGCTCCAGTCCTGACCCCAATTAACCCCTTTAACCCCAATTAACCCCTAATTAATCCCTAATTAACCCCAAACTGACCCCTAATTAACACTAATTAACTAATCACCTTGGCGTTGAGCATGTCGACGCAGAAGTGGCAGAGGGCGGCCCTGAAGAAATGCTCCTTGGCGCTGTACTTGAGCAGGGGGCTGTCCATGGCCACCGCCCCCACCTGCAACGTTCCGGAACGTTCCGCAGAGTTCCGCAGAATTCCGGAGAATTCCGGGAATTTAAAAATGGGAAAAAATCCAAAAAAATTCCAGAAAATTCCGGGAGTTCCGAAGAGGGGTTGGAGAGGAGGGGAGAAGGAAGTGAGGGAAGGGGGAGAGGGGAGGGGGAGGAAAAGGAAAAAAAACCCCAAAATTTGGGGTCAGAGCCCCAAAATTTGGGATCAGAGCCCCAAAAACTTTGGGATCAGAGCCCCAAAATTTGGGGTCAGAGCTCCAAAATTTGGGATCAGAGCCCCAAAATTTGGGATCAGAGCCCCAAAATCTTTGGGATCAGAGCCCCAAAATTTGGGGTCAGAGCTCCAAAATTTGGGATCAGAGCCCCAAAATCTTTGGGATCAGAGCCCCAAAATCTTTGGGATCAACGCCCCAAAATTTGGGATCAGAGCCCCAAAATCTTTGGGATCAGAGCCCCAAATCTTGGAGATCAAACCCCAAAATTTTGGGATCAGAGATCCAAATTCTTTGGGATCAGAGTCCCAGATTTTGGGATAAGACCCCCCCAAATATTGGGATCAGAACCCCAAAATCTTTTCAGATCAAACCCCAAAATTTGTGGGATCACCCAAAATTTTGGGATCAGAGATCCAAGTTCTTTGGGATCAGAGTCCCAAATTTTGGGATAAGACCCCCAAATATTGGGATCAGAGCCCCAAAATCTTTTCAGATCAGAACCCAAAATTTGGGATCAGAGCCCCAAAATCTTTGGGATCAGACCCCAAATTTTGGGATAAGACCCCCAAATTTTACGATCAGAACCCCAAAATCTTTTGGGATCAAGGTCCAAAAAATCTTCAGGAACAGACCCCAAAAACTTTGGGATCAGAGACCTAAATTTTAGGATTAGACCCCAAATTCTTTGGGATCAACGTCCCAAAATCTTGGAGATCAAACCCCAAAATTGGTGGGATCAGAGTCCCAAATTTTGGCATCAGAGTCCCAAAATCTTTTCAGATCAGACCCCAAAATTTGGAGTCAGAGCCCCAAAATTTGGGATCAGACCCCAAAATCTTGGAGATCAAACCCCAAAATTTGTGGGATCAGACCCCAAATTTTTTTGGGAAGTTTCAGGGATCGGACGCCGCAGATTTGGGAATCGGATCCTGAACCCTCAGGGACAAAAAAAAACCCAAAAAAAAGCAGGAAAATGTCAAAAAAACCCCAAAGAAACAGGAAAATGACCCCAAAAAAGCGAGAAATTGAGGGGAAAAATCAGGAAAATGAAAGAAATATGGAGAAAAATGAGGGAAAAAAGCAAAAAAAATGAGAGAAAAAAAGCAGGAAATGAGGGAAAAAACCAGAAAAATGAAAGAAAGCAGAAAAATGAGGGGAAAAGTTTAAAAAATGAAAGAAAAAAAGCAGAAAAATTAGAGGAAAAAAGCAGGAAAATTAAGAAAAGAGTAGAAAAATGAAAGAAAAAAGCAAAAAAAAAAAAAAGAGGGAAAAAAGCAGAAAAATGAAAGAAAAAAACCAGAAAAATAAGGGAAAAAGCAGAAAAATGAAGAAAAGAACAGAAAAGTGAGGGGAAAAATCAGAAAAATGAAAGAAATATGTGAAAAATGAAAGAAAATAGGCAGAAAAATGAGGAAAAAAGGAAAATTAGGGGAAAAGGCAGAAAAATGAGGAAAAGAAGCAGAAAAATGAAGGAAAAAAGGCAGAAAAATGAAGGAAAAGAGCAGAAAAATGAAAGAAAAAAGCAGGAAAATTAGAAAAAAAAGCAGAAAAATGAAAGAAAAAAGGCAGAAAAATGAGGGAAAAAAGCAGAAAAATGAGGGGAAAAAAGCAAAAAAAAAGAGGAAAAAAAAGCAGAAAAATGAGGGAAAAAAGGGGGGAAATTAGGAAAAAAAGCAGAAAAACGAGGGAAAAAGCAGAAAAATGAGGGAAAAAAGCAAAAAAAATGAGGAAAAAAGCAGAAAAATGAGGAAAAGGGGCAGGAAAGGAGGAAGAGGAGGAGGAGGAGGGGAGGAAGGCCCGACCTGCTCGTAGATGTCGATGGCGCGCGGGAACTGCTCGAGCTGCGCCGCGTACGCCGCCACCTTCAGCAGGCACTTGTTGGCTGAGCTGGGGGCGGGAGGGCGAGGGGGCAGAATTCCCAAAAAAACCCCAAATCCCAAAAATCCCACCCGAAAAACCCAAAAATTCCAGCCGGAAAACCCAAAAATCCCAGCCGAAAAAACCCAAAATCCCAGCCGAAAAAACCCAAAATCCCAGCCGAAAAAACCCAAAATCCCAGCCGAAAAAACCCAAAATCCCAGCCGAAAAAACCCAAAATCCCAGCCGAAAAAACCCAAAATCCCAGCCGAAAAAACCCAAAATCCCAGCCGAAAAAACCCAAAATCCCAGCCGAAAAAACCCAAAATCCCAGCCGAAAAAACCCAAAAATCCCAGCCGGAAAACCCAAAAATCCCACCCAAAAAATGGGAAATCCCAGCCAAAATCTCAAAAATTCCACCTAAAAAAACCCAATTCCCAGCCAAATCCCAGAAATCCCACCCCAAAAAAACCCAATTTCCACTGAAATCCCAGCCAAAAAACCCAAATCCCACCCAAATCCCAAACCCAGCCACCTTCAGCAGGCACCTGTTGGCTGAGCTGGGGGTGGGAGGGCGAGAGGGTAGAATTCCCAAAAAAAACCAAAATCCCAAAAATCCCAGGCGAAAAAAAACCAAAAATCCCAGGCGAAAAAAACCCAAAATCCCAGCCGAAAAAACCCAAAAATCCCAGCCAGAAAACCCAAAAATCCCAAAAATCCCAGCCGGAAAACCCAAAAATCCCAGCCAAAAAACCCCAAAAATCCGAGCCAAAAAAACCAAAAATCCCAGTCAGAAATCCCAAAAATCCCAGCAAAAAAATCCCAAAATCCCAGCCAAAAAACCCAAATCCCACCCAAATCCCAAACCCAGCCACCTTAAGCAGGCACTTGTTGGCTGAGCTGGGGACAGGATGGGGAGGGGGCAGAATTCCCAAAAAACCCAAAATCCCAGCCGAAAAACCCAAAAATCCCAAAAATCCCACCGGGAAAAAACCCAAAAATCCCAGCTGAAAAACCCCAAATCCCAAAAATCCCAAAAAGTCCCACTCAAAAAACCCAATTCCCACCCAAATCCCACCTGAAAAATCCCAAAAATCCCAGCCAAAAAACCCAAAAAATCCCAGCCAAAAAAACCCAAAATCCCCAAAACCCCACCCGAAAAATGGGAAATTCCATCCAAAATCCCAAAAATCCCACCCAAAAACCCCCAATTCCCACCGAAATAAACAAAATCCCACCCAAAAAAATCCCCAAATTCCACCCAAAAGTGGCAGATCCCAGGGGAAATCCCCGAAATTCTACCTGAAAAACCCCAGATCCCAATGGATCCCAATGGATCCCAAAGGATCCCGGCCAAGGTCTCAGCAGATCCCAACGAATCCCAACCCAGATTTGGAGCTGGGATCCCTCGGGATCCGTTGGGATCCGGGTCTGGATCTCTCCCGATCCATTGGGGATCTCCAGGGATCCACTGAAATTCGGGTCAGAATCTGTTGGGATCCGCTGGGATCCTCAGAGATCCGTTGGGATCTCCAGGGCCTGGTGGGATCCGGGTTGGGACCGACTGGGATCTGTTGGGTCTTGGGTTGGGATCCGGGTCGGGATCCCTCCTGATCCTTTGGGGATCCCCAGGGATCCACTGAAATTTGGGTCAGAATCTGTTGGGATCCCTCAGGATCAACTGGAACCCAGATCCGGGATCCGCTGGGACCCTTTGTACTTTGGGTTGGGATCTGTTGGGATCTACCGGGACCCGAGGGGTTGGGGGTTGGGATCCACTGGGATCTGTTGGGATTCGGGTTGGGATTGACCAGGATTGGGGTTGGAATCCATCGGGATTTGGATTTGGGATCCCCTGGATCCGCTGGGATTTGGGTCAGGATCCTCTGGGATCCACCGGGGTTTGGATTCGGGATCCCCCAGGATCCGTTGGGATCTCGCAGGATCTGGGATCCCTGCCGGGATCCTCCGGAATCCGTCGGGATTTGGGATCCCCCCGAGGGTCTGTTGGGATCTGGAACTGGGATCCCCCGGGATCTGCCGGGATCCCTCAAGGATTCGTTGAGATTGGACTTTGGGATCCCCCCGGAGCCGTTGGGATCCTCTGGGATCTGTTTGAGTCCCCGGGATCTGCTGGGATTTGGATTTGGGATCCCCCGGGATCTGCTGGGATCCGCTGGGATTTGGGATTCCCAGGACCTGTGGGGATCCCTCGAAATCTGTTGGGGTTTGGATCTGGGATCCTGCGGGATCCCCTGGGATCTGCTGGGATCCCTCAAGGACTTGTTGAGATTTGGATTTGGGATCCCCCAGAATCCGTTGGGATCCTCTGGGATCCATTGAGATCCTCGGGATCTGCTGGGATCTGGATTTGGAAACCCCTGGGATCTGTTGGGATTCGGGATCCCCTGGAATCTGTTGGGATTTGGGTCTGGATCCCGTGGGATCTGTTGGGATTCGGGATCCCCGGGATCCGCTGGGATCTGGATTTGGGACTCCCGGGATCTGCTGGGATCTGGATTTGGAAACCCCTGGGATCTGCTGGGATTCGGGATCCCCAGGATCTGTTGGAATTCCCCGGGATCCGCTGGAATTCCCCGGGATCCGCTGGGATCCGCTGGGATCCGCTGGGATCCGGTACCTGGTGGATTCCTCCCCTCGGTAGTAATCGGCCGCCTGCTCGTAGTGCGCCACGGCCTGGGGGGAAAACGGGAAAATTCGGGAAAATTCGGGAAAATTCGGGATCAGATCCCAAAAAATCCCCCAAAAAACCTCCCAAAAACAGCCGGGAGAGACGGGATCCACCCGGAAAAACCCGGAAAAAATCCGGAAAAAATCCCAGAGAAACTCAAAAGATCGCGGGAAATCCCGGGGAAAATCCCAGAAAATCCTGGGGAAACACGGAAAAATTCCAGGAAAAAGCTGGGAAAAATTCACAGAAAAACTCAGGGAAAAAACAGGGAAAATCCGGGGAAAAAAACTGAAAAAATCCCAGAAAAAAACCCCAGAAAATCCTGGAAAAATCCTGGAAAAAAATCACAGAAAATCCGGGAAAAAATCTCAGAAAACAGCAGGAAAAAAATGCCCAGAAAATCCTGGAAAACCCCAGGAAAAATTCTGGGAAAATCCCAGAAAAATCCTGGAAAAATCCCAGAAAAACCTGGGAAAATAAAAAGGGGGTAAAAATTGGATTAAAATGGGATTAAAAAGGGGATTGAAACAGGATAAAAATGGGTAAAAGAAGGGATAAAAATGGGATTAAAATGAGGCAAAAACAGAATAAAAGTAAGATTAAAAAAAGGATTAAAAAGGGATAAAAATGGGATTAAAAAGTATGAAAAAACTAATTAAAAAGTGATAAAAATGGGGTAAAACTTGGGTAAAAATGAGATTTTAAAAGGACAGAAAAGGGATAAAAAATGGGCTAAAAATGGAATATAAAAAAAGATGAAAATGGAATAAAAATGGAATAAAAAAGGATAAAAAATGGGATTAAAATTCCAGGAAAAAGCTGGGAAAAATTCGCAGGAAAATTCTGGGAAAAAAACCAGGGAAAATCCGGGGAAAAAAACTGGAAAAATCCCAGGAAAAAAAAAAAAAAAAAACCCAAAAAAAACCACAGAAAATCCTGGAAAAATCTTGGAAAAATCTTGGAAAAATCCTGGAAAAAATCACAGAAAATCCGGGAAAAAATCTCACAAAACAGGAGGAAAAAAACCCAAGAAAATCCTGGAAAACCCCAGGAAAAATTCTGGGAAAATCCCAGAAAAATCCTGGAAAAATCCCAGAAAAACCTGGGAAAATAAAAAGGGGGTAAAAATTGGATTAAAATGGGATTAAAAAAGAATTGAAACAGGATAAAAATGGGGATAAAATGGGGTAAAAGAAGGGATAAAAACGGGATTAAAATGGGAGAAAAACAGAATAAAAGATTAAAAATGGATTAAAAAGGCATAAAAATTGGATAAAAATATAAAAAAAGAATTTAAAAAGGGGGAAAATGGGGTAAAAGTCGGGTAAAAATGAGATTTTAAAAGGATAAAAAAGGAATAAAAAATGGGCTAAAAAATGGAATTAAAAAAATGACAAAAATGGGATAAAATTGGGATAAAAAAGGATAAAAAATGGGATTAAAACAGGATATAAAAAGGGATAAAAATGGAATAAAAATGGAATAAAATTGGGATAAAAACGGAATAAAATTGGGATAAAAACAGAATAAAATTGGGATAAAAGCTCCAAAATTCCAGGAGAAATCCCAGGAGGGAACAGGAGCTGAAATCCTGGAATTCTCCATCCCTGCCCCTCCCCCCTCCTGGAAAGTTCTGGAATTCCGGTGGCTCCGGGGCCGCCCCCGCTCCGTCTGCTCCTGCTGGGGGCAGGAAATGCTGGAAAATTCCCAGGAATTCCTGGAAAAATCCCAGGAAAACACAGAAAAATGCAGAAAAGCCCCAAAACCCCAGAAAAATCCCAAGAAAATCCTGGGAAAATCCCAGAAAATCTTGGGAAAACATAGAAAAAATGCCCAAAATTCCCGGAAAAATCCTGGAAAATTCCTGGAGAAATCCCAGAAAATCCAGATAAAAAATACCAGAAAAACACAAAAAACCAGAAAAATTTAAAAAATCCTAAAAATCCCCAAAAAATCCTGGAAAAATCCCAGCAAAACACAGAAAAAAATGCCCAAAATTCCCAGAAAAATCCTCCAAAATCCTGGAAAATTCCCAAATTCCCGGAAAAATCCCAGAAAATCCAGATAAAAAATACCAGAAAAACACAATCCCAGAAAAATTTTAAAAATCCCAAAAATCCTAGAAAAATCCCCAAAAAATCCTGGAAAAATCCCAGCAAAAACAGAAAAAAAACCCAAAATTCCCAGAAAAATCCCCAAAATTCCCAGAAAAATTCCCCAAAATCTCAGAATTTTCCTGGGATTTTCCCTGGACTTTTCCAGGATTTTCTGGGGATTTTCCCAGAATTTTTCCATGGGTTTTTCCAGGATTTTCACTGGGTTTTTTTAGGATTTTCCAGGATTTTTTGGGGGATTTTCCAGGATTTTTGTGCATTTTTTCTGGGATTTTTTTCAGGGATTTTCCCGGGATTTTTTTTTGGATTTTCATGGGAATTTTTGGGGGATTTTTCCAGGATTTGGAAAATATTTTCCCAGATTCTTTTTTTTATTATTGTTTTTGCAGGATTTTTCTGGGATTTTCTTGGGGATTTTTTGAGGATTTTTCCAGAATTTTCCCAGAGATTTTTCCAGGAATTTTTTAGGATTTTTCCAGAATTTTTCCAAGATTTTCATGGAATTTTTCCAGGTTTTTTTCTGGGATTTTCCCGTGATTTTCCTGGATTTTTTGAAGATTTTTTTTTCTATTTTCCCACCATTTCCCAGGATTTTTCTGGGGATTTTTCCTGTGATTTTTCTGTGCTTTTTTTCCTGTAGTTTTTCTGTGATTTTTTGAGGATTTTTCCAGAATTTTCCTAGGGATTTCTCCAGGAATTTTTTAGGATTTTCTCGGATTTTTCTGTGATTTTTTGAGAATTTTTTTGGATTTTTCCGCACTTTCCCAGCATTTTTCTGGGGATTTTTTTCCTGTGATTTTGCCGTGATTTTCCTGTGATTTTGCCGGGATTTTTCTGTGATTTTCCTGGGTTTTTTCCGGGATTTTCCCGGGATTTTTCCTGTGATTTTCCCGTGATTTTTCCTGTGATTTTCCTGGGATTTTC